ATGTGGAAGAGTTGAGGGGCCTGACGGTCTCTGTTTTTCTTCTCCAGGCCATATTTATCACATGAGTCCATGAGAATGGACACCATATTATGCCATGGGAGAGTCATCCTTTTAGCAACAAATCCATGAGTAAGTGCCTGAAAAACAGAATTTGATTAAACACCATACATCCTAAATAAAATAATTTCCTAAAGTTCCAAGTTTATTATCATTATCATCACTGATTATCATTAGTAGTCAAAACTATTATTTTCAAGAGGTTGCCTAATCTGCAATTTGTTCAGAACAGTATTTGTTATATTTTTATCACAGTATTTACATAATGGTTACATAATATTTACAGTATTTTTCCCATTGGACGCAACCTTATTCATTGTCTGGAATAATTCAAATTGGTAGATCTGTTTAAATTCAGTCAATTTCTAGTTATGTCATTATCTAAGTTAATAACCAGCTGTTTGAAACAATGTAAAAAAGAAAAGAAAAAGAGTTGACTGAAAAATAGTTGAAACAAAATCAGAAAACACTTTGCAATCCTGTGTAACAAGGTTACATAGAGGAGGAATTGATCTGGGTTGCTGTGCAACAATCACATTATCTGCTGGTGCTATCTCAATGTGCATGTTCTGTTGGATCATCCATGCTTTCATGTGTTTTGGATGCTCCATATGTTTCTGGAGTGCAATCTTCCCACTTGTGCCATAGTTAATTGGGTGGTTGCAAATAGCCTTGTCTGGTTTCCTAATTTTGCTGAAGCAATTCAGTGAAAAGGTGTTTCTTTCAACTTGGACAGTCTCCTGCAACCAGCTCCATGGCCTCCTCATCAATAGATTTTACTTCAGGGCTGTTCAGTGCTAACCTGGCCATGATTCCATGTATGCTGGAAATCAAGATTAATGGAAATTATCTTCAGAATGTAAGAATAGTTAGGTCTCTTCATTTGGTCTGACAGAGAAAAGCAGGATACCTTATTTCTAGTGATATAATTACATAAAGTAATCAATATCGAAATAATGTAATTGTGTTTACATTCAATTTGTTTGATTATTTGTGTGACTATCTACTTTGTGTTGTATGAAAAAGTTAGCGGTCAGCTACAACTTGCTATTTGTCGACCCACTATAGCAGCTTTAATGGCGACTGTAATGCTGGGTGGTTACAGTGTTCAGAACAGAGTTAACAGGGTTATTAACAGCATTTAGCTTTTACGCTGTAGAAAGCCCTGCAAATTTGTATTATGGCAGTATTATTAGGCAGTATTCACACTAGGAAAGCCTCACTGCTACGACTACTGGTCTGCTCAAACGGCGAAATGACGAATGAACAAAAAATGCTCAGTAGAAAAAATGCTAAAATGGGTCGCCAAACTTACTTTGGCGGCTGTTAGCTGTGCGGCCCGCCGAATCCAAGTATGTGTGTACCATTGAAAGCACTAACCATTCACAAGAAATTCACATAAAACATGCCATAACCTTTTACATAAAGATGACTTGAAAAGCAACCATTCATACAGCCAAGTCTTGCATGTGGCTAGACAGCTGGCTAGTTTATTAACATAGGATACGTTTGCAGAGATGCAAACACTAGCAATTTAGCGACATAAAAACTAGTCAAGTCAATTGTATTTGTATAGCCCATAATCACAGTTACAGTCTCAAAGGGCTTTACAGGCCATTTATGTAAGACACCCCCTAACCCTAGCCCCCCAAAGGGCAAGAAACACTCAAGGAAGTTATTTTGAGAAAGAATGCGTGAACAGAGACAGACAGTATATATATATATATATATATATATATATATATATATATTAGACATATCACAAGGAATAATCTTGACATACCTGAATTATCCGGTCCGAAACAGCGATCTTCTTGTCAACTAATGATGTACCACTGACGCACGAGCGTGACTGGGGTATGCAGGTGTGGAATTGAAATTGAAAAAAAAATCTTCACGCACATTAGCCTAGATGTCCTCAAATCCTCTAGATGCCCCCCCCCCCCCGCCAAAAAATAAATAAATGTCATCATGTGGGTCACATACATAAATCGGTAAAATCACATCCCTGATAATAAAAGATTGTGTGAAGCAGTCTTAACTAAAGGTAGTAATAGACACGCAGTTAAAGTCAATCATTTTCACTTGATATAACTGGCAAATGATGTACGTAGCTCTTCAAGGCTCTGACTCATCACTTTGAGGATAAGATGGGGAGGATAGGTTAAGGAGGGACTGAGGATGAGTCAAGGATGTAATTTCCTAGAGGGCATGCCTGGCTGTAAAGAAATATGTCACTGCTCAGTGGCTGTAAAATAGATTTTAAAAGCCATGGTGACAGCTTTGATCAGGGATTCTGTTTTGTACTCACAAAAAAGGCATACCTCCTAAGAAGTAAATGACATTCAAACCACATTGGGCTCCCATGTCTAGATCCCACCACAGAAGGGACAGACAGAAGATGAGCCACATTGACCTCATGGGGGCACTATAATACCTACATTCACTAAAATGGCCACAGGCTCCGAGCCTGAATGTCAGATTTGAGCCAAATCAACTTTGGAACAGTTGAGGGTCAAAGCTCTAATTGTTGAAGGGGAAGATGGTGATTTACCAAACAGAGGCCAACATATTTTCTATCAGTTTCAAGGAGCCAAAAGGCAGGGTTAACTTTAGCCAATAATCATCAAACTTGGTGTACGGAAAGGTACGTGGGGTCAAGATGAATCAGTTCAAAGATCATCCAAATCGGACCATAGGGGGCGCTACAGTGACAAGTTGAATAGTGCACCTTTAACCCTGCCATATCCCACAGACTGTCATCTGATGCCATTAATTTGATGTCATAAGTTGCATCTCCTCATAGCCTACAAATATCCATTTATCCATTTCAGTTTACAAAATGTGGAAGTTTCTCTATCAAATTTGCTTTGTTGGATTATTTAGAGCCTCATTAGTACAAGTTATCAAAAGAGTTCTGTAATTGTAAATGGTATGGCCACTTCAGCCAAAATTATTTTTCACCACACTGCCACAAGTAGCCAAATCTCCCAAAGCTCCCAAATGTTCCATTTAATTTGAATGACTTACTACTTTGGACTCTGCACCCCATTGTACATATAAAATTATGTCACTGAATCGATTCTGTGTGGTTCGATTCCGCTCTATACCTCGCCCCATACCTGACATACATGACATCCCTTGTCATTCAGGTTGAAGTGTTTTTACTTAATTTTTATTTTACAATTATTATTATTCAGCCCCATTCTTTAGTTTGGCATGTTCCCATGGCTCACTTTTTTACCAAAATGTTTACATTGATCCAGATCAGCCCCAAACATCCAAATCTGAAAAAAGGAACCAATTGGACCAAGTCCGTAGCTCCACCAACTGTCAAAGTTGCTAATTTTCAAAAGGCTATATCTCAGGTCCCATTTGACCCACATTCACAAACGTATGACAGATGACGCAGCTTCTCATGGCCTACAATGTTCCCATTGGGACCATTGACCTCTGCATCACTTGATAATCCACAATTTTGTGGATTTTTTACTTTTAACATCTCCCAGGCTAATTCACCAATTCCAACCAAACAAGTTATCAAAATACTTCTAACATGCTATGTGGTATGGCCCCCACAAGTGTAAACATTTTCACACAACATCACTTTGACAGTAGGCAGTCTTATTTTATCATCTCCTCCTAGACCAGTGCCACCAATAGGTCAAAATTTGCACTTTTCAAAAGGCTCTATCTCTGGTCCACTTGATGCTATACTGTTGAGCCTGGTCTCATGATGTCTTCCTATGCCTGACTATATTTTCCGCCATTTTGAATTGTCTAATAAACGTACTTTTACTATCTCCTCCTAGACAATGCATCCGATTTGAACCAGACCACCTTTATTTGATGCCCTAGACTGTCATTGGTAAAAGCTATCAAAAGAGTTTTGAAATTTGAAACAATATGGCTGCCAATGCCAGAAGTGTTTTGGCTGAAATGCCACAAAAACAGGAAGTGGGCATATCTCCTAGAAAATTGATTGAAATTCGACAACATTACGTAACCAAGTGTAATATTGGCCTTAAAAGCTGCTCTCACTGATTTGACCGTCTTGCCCACATGGCGGTGCTATAGCAATAAAAACATAAAAATGGTCATAGATCCTATGCCATTGGTCTGATTTGAACCAAACCAACGTCAGGCACTTGGTCAGCCTTACATGTGTTCAAGTAAGATTAGGCTAGTGGGTTAAAGGGCATGGTTGCCATGCCCAAAAAAGTAAAAAAACATTTTCAGGAACGTTATGGTGGGTTTATTTTAATCTGATCTCCCTGAAACACACTCGAGTCCTATGGGTCAAGATTAGCCAGGAGAAATTTCGTCCAAATCATCAACACACTTTTTCGATCTAAACCATTTGTTGAAATACCATAAAAATTGCTTTGTTGGACCCTTTGGACCATTATTAGTAAAAGTCGAAATTAAAAGAGGTTACAAATTCTGAACGGTATGGCTGGCACAGCCGGAAACATATTGGTTAAATCGCCACCATGAAAGGAAGTGGGCATGGCTTCTAAACGCTCAGTCCAATGTTCACGACACCTACATTTTTTAACTCATTATTATTATACTTTACATAAACATCACTGCTTTCCGTAAACAAAAGATAAATCCTAGTTAGTCAGTTACCTTGATTGGCAATAAGACTCAGCTTAGTGATTGCCTATTGACTCAAATGCAGCTAAACAAAACCAAAACTAATGATCTTCATTATGCAGGTGTATTCTCTATTCTCTGATACTAGTATAGTATTAGCATAAAACAGGTAGCCAAAAGTACATGACAGTAAATGTATACATTCTCAGCATAAAGCTGTTGGACAAATGACAGGTGGCTAAAGCAAAGATCTTCAACAGACCCCACAACCACAACCCGTCCCTCAGCAACTGTGATTTTTTTTAGATACATGTCCTAGCAACTTGTTCAAGGATGCCTGTAGGTAGACTTCGGACACTGGGGTTTTAACCCAGAACCTTTTGGCTGGGAGTCAAACACCCTAGACCACTAGACTATCCTCCTATCTAAAGCTGGAGGTAGGGTACTATCCTCCAATGTAAAGATGGAGGTGGTGTACTATCCTATCTAAAGCTGGAGGAGGTGTACTATCCTATCTAAAGCTGAAGGAGGTGTACTTTCCTCCTATCTAAAGCTGGAGGTGGTGTACTAACCTATCTAAAGATGGAGGTTGTGTACTCTCCTATCTTAAGCTGGAGGTGGTATACTATCCTATCTTAAGCTGAAAGTGGTGTACTATCCTATCTAAAGCTGGAGGTGGTGTACTATCCTATCTAAAGCTGAAGGAGGTGTACTATCCCATCTTAAGCCATAGGAGGTGCACTATCCTATCTTAAGCTGGAGGTGGTGTATTATCCTATCTAAAGGATACTGACCGACTTGGAGGACTCCAGGGAGCCGGAAGAGAGCGTGTCTCGGCTGCTGCGGCTTTTGGAGCTGAGGTGTGGCGAGGAGGAGGGTGAGTCGTCGATGTAGGGCAAGATGTCGTGATACCGCCGCTGCTCCTCGGCACGGTCCGCATCATAGCTGTAGCTCGGAGGACTGTCTGGAGAGAGATTCATACAATGTTATTTATTAATTGAAAAAAACACACTGAATTGAAAAAAAACACATTCTTTCATGTAGATGCTTACTTTAAGGCTACAGGGATCTAGGTCAAATAGTGAGCATCCCTTTTTGAGGGTGGGCGGGTTTTGCAGAGAGTAGGGGGAGGGTGTGTTGGAGTGTTTTTTTCAAAATGTATACTTCAGCTTGCTTGAAATCGCAAATCTTGCATTTTGTACCTTGAAGTTTAAGTTTATACAGTTTGTGTTTTATAATCATTTTAAAATATATAAACAATAAAACAAATAAACCAATAAAACGACGAAACAGCTAATGCTGTGGGACTGAATGAATGGTATTCAGAGAACATTGTTGTATCAGACATGAAACATTTTTCCAGATTCCCACCCATCCCCTATCATCAGACTTCAACTTCTTTTTTTTTCAATACAAACATTTAACAAAGGTTGTTTCAAGGGTCGACCCTTTTTGTGGTTCTAGTAAAATAGTTTTAGCTGGATAAGATGATTGTCTAGGAGGGAAACTTCAAAGGCGTAGGAGTGAGAGAATAGAGGAGTGAGTCACAGGAAGCCATCGTGTAGCACAAGACATGTAAATCTCCAAATGTCAGACAAGACATTATGGAGTTCTTCTCCTCCCACCGTTACGCTCAGAAGAATGCTGGCCGAGCTTCAATCTTGCTGACTGATATTTTCTGTGATATTTTCTGTGTACTAACACACCAGCACACACACACACACACCACAACCAGCATTTTGTCTACCTTCTTTTCAATTTCTCCCACATGTTCAGTCAAGAGCCCCTTTACAACCCTCACAGACATTAAATATATTACAAATTATTGTTTTTGCTAGACTAGGAATGAATAAACGAAAGCAAGCAAGAAAGAAAGAACTCTGTATTGAGGGCAAGTCTGACCTTTAACCCACCCACTGTTTGCTGTGTACTGTGAGCTGCCCAGTGGATAATTGTTTTTAGCCAACTGGCCTCTGGGAGTGTGAGTGTTAGTGTGAGCGTAAGTGTAAATTCCTCACCACTCTCTGTGCAAAGAGACAAAAGAGGTAGCTTATTTCATGTTACTCTACCAAAAAAATATCGCTTTTTAAATTCACAACTTTGTTTTATGTTGCGGAAAATAACACAAATACTTTGGATTGAGTTAATGAGTTAGCAATTCTGCTGTGTACTTGCATACATGTATGAAAGCATAACATAACACGGATCCACCCTAATCGTGCGAAAAATGACTTGCAGGACAAAAGACAAGCACCCATCCGTGCGAGATAAAAAGAAGCAAGCTCCCATCCACGCGAGTTAAAAGACGCTATGAAATGGTCACGAAGGCAACGGTGAAGGCGACTGGAGAGAGCCACTGTCATGGCAGCATGTTACATCTGCTCGGCAAATACCATCTTGCCATCTCCAATAAATGCATTCTCAACATCTACCTGTGTCCTGTGTCGGAGGGCCAAAGCAAAAGCCACTAAGGTGGCGTGTGGTAGAGTCTACTGCTACATTGCCATTATTATTATATCCTACCTTATCTCCTAGGTAGCCTAACAAAACAGCGGAATGCTACATGGTAAACAAGGTTATTCTTCCCATTGAACGCACTGAATGGGGGCATTCAAATGAACGTGAGGACTGGAATTTTTGCCGCAATGCTTGATTTGTTCTGAATGCGACCTTAGCCCTCACACGGATGGGTGACAACGCATAACACAGCATAACATGAATTTCAGCATAGCAAGGATCTTAACATTAACATTATTGTGTATATGTGTGTGGTACTGTTATGCCACAACAACCCTAAGCCCAAGAATGCAGAAGATCAACATGTGAAGCCCTGTGGGGAACCAATTCGTTCTTACCACATCATTAGACTGAAGAACTACAGAACATACACTCACCGGCCACTTTATTAGGTACACCTGTCCAACTGCTCGTTAACGCAAATTTCTAATCAGCCAATCACATGGCAGCAACTCAATGCATTTAGGCATGTAGACATGGTCAGGACGATCTGCTGCAGTTCAAACCGAGCATCAGAATGGGGAAGAAAGGTGATTTAAGTGACTTTGAACGTGGCATGGTTGTTGGTGCCAGACGGGCTGGTCTGAGTATTTCAGAGACTGCTGATCTACTGGGATTTTCACGCACAACCATCTCTAGGGTTTACAGAGAATGGTCCGAAAAAGAGAAAATATCCAGTGAGCGGCAGTTCTGTGGGCGCAAATGCCTTGTTGATGCTAGAGGTCAGAGGAGAATGGCCAGACTGGTTCGAGCTGATAGAAAGGCAACTGTAACTCAAATAACCACTCGTTACAACAGAGGTATGCAGAAGAGCATCTCTGAACGCACAACACGTCGAACCTTGAGGCGGATGGGCTACAGCAGCAGAAGACCACACCGGGTGCCACTCCTGTCAGCTAAGAACAGGAAACTGAGGCTACAATTCGCACAGGCTCACCAAAATTGGACAGTCGAAGATTGGAAAAACGTTGCCTGGTCTGATGAGTCTCGATTTCTGCTGCGACATTCGGATGGTAGGGTCAGAATTTGGCGTCAACAACATGAAAGCATGGATCCATCCTGCCTTGTATCAACGGTTCAGGCTGGTGGTGGTGGTGTAATGGTGTGGGGGATATTTTCCTGGCACACTTTGGGCTTATTAGTACCAATTGAGCATCGTGTCAAAGCCACAGACTACCTGAGTATTGTTGCTGACCATGTCCATCCCTTTATGACCACAGTGTACCCATCTTCTGATGGCTACTTCCAGCAGGATAACGCGCCATGTCATAAAGCGCGAATCATCTCAGACTGGTTTCTTGAACATGACAATGAGTTCACTGTACTCAAATGGCCTCCACAGTCACCAGATCTCAATCCAATAGAGCACCTTTGGGATGTGGTGGAACGGGAGATTCGCATCATGGATGTGCAGCCGACAAATCTGCAGCAACTGCGTGATGCTATCATGTCAATATGGACCAAACTCTCTGAGGAATGTTTCCAGTACCTTGTTGAATCTGTGCCACGAAGGATTAAGGCAGTTCTGAAGGCAAAAGGGGGTCCAACCCGGTACTAGCAAGGTGTACCTAATAAAGTGGCCGGTGAGGATATATGCCTAAAAGAAAAAACTAATAGCTCATAAGTATCCTTTGGTAGTTTTCCTTATGGTTTGAACTTTTATTGAACCCGTCCTGACAGAACCTCTACTGCATGTCTTTCTTGTCATGAACGTACTGCGTGTCTCTCTCCCCCCCCCCCCCACACACACATTTACTTTTAGGAGTGGTCATTTTCCAAAAGCAGGACTTTTGTAACCATGACGCAATGGTAGCACACATGCCTTTCCACATGCAAGACATGGATTGATGTGATATTTTGAAGTTAACTCTCAAATAAAACAACACACTGGAATATATGTGATCAGCAGCTGTGGAAAATCCTAACATGAGCTACTTTTAATAGAACCAATTGGGTCTGGCTATGGAAAGCTATAGGTGTTTATGTGCATGCCTGTAGCTTGACAGACCAAATACCTTCTGAGGACCAAGGTATGCATGTTAAATTATGTTTTGAGAACTTTTAAATCCTTCTTGTGTGTGTGTGTATGTGAGTGAGTGAGTGAGTGAGTGAGAGATCCACAACACCTATGTGCATGTCCCTCCTACACCATCCCATCTGCTCCTTTTCCCATCTGCTCCCTTTTCCTGAAGCTATTCATCTTATCAGGCAAATTCTGACAGTCAACACCGGCAAGGCCTATCTCATTATAGTAACTTGTGATATGTCAATCAGTACAAACCACCATCCTCTCTTTTACCTCACTGTAGAACAGTGTTGAGCAGTAACACACCCAGTAACGAGTAGTGTAACAAATTACTAATACATTTTCAGTAATAATATTACAGTTCCCCCCCCCAAAAAAAAACTTGTTACAACCTTATTTTTTTAATTCATTTTCTTAACTGCCGACATCTGGACTACTAACCATAAAAACTTTCTCGAGATGACAGTTAATTGGATCAACTGGTCGTGTTTGCGGTGTGAGAAATCTGGCATGGCATGCAAATGGATCAGAAGGAGTAACACATATAATGTTGTCGGTAGGGTTGGGGGATGTTGACCACATTGATGATGAACGGGCCACAGTGAAAAATCACAATGGACGATGACGTCACCCGGAGGGGGGGGGGGAGAGTTGTATTTAAATTAAGGTATTTAAATTAGTCATGAAAAGACCAACTGATTGAGAACAGCAGTGCATCTGACATGACCGCAGTTAGGGCTAGGCTACCTTCTGGGGTGAAAAGCACTGTTGAAAATTGTGAACCAGATTAAATGAAATTATTAAAATAATGATTAGATGTTATGGGAAACTACACATTGTTTAACATTAGTTTATTAGGCCTATTAAAAGCATGGT